GCCTTTTTAGTCCCAAAAGCCACACTATGTATGTGGGACACACCATGTTAGGTGAGACTATCCCAAGCACTGTCAGGTGAGACTATTACAAACCCCATGACTTCTGAGACTGTCTATTCCAAACACTGTATCTCCTGAGACTGTCTATTCCAAACACCATGTCTCTTGAGACTGTCTTTACAAACACCATGTCTCCTGAGACTGTCTACTCCAAACCCCATGTTTTCTGAGACTGTCTATTTCAAACACCATGTCTCTTGATACTGTCTTTACAAACACCATGTCTCCTGAGACTGTCTACTGCAAACCCCATGTTTTCTGAGACTATTTCAAACACCATGTCTCTTGAGACTGTCTTTACAAACACCATATCTCCTGAGACTCTATTCCAAACACCATGTCCGGTGAAACTGTCTACTCCAAACACCATGTCTCTTGAGACTGTCTACTCCAAATACTCCAAACACCATGTCCGGTGAGACAGTCTACTACAAACACCATGTCTGGTGAGACAGTCTACTACAAACACCATGTCCGGTAAGACAGTCTACTACAAATGCCATGTCTCCTGAGACTGCCTAACACAAACACCATAAGTCTGGAGACGGAGACCCAACGCTCAACTCAAAGTGTCAATGAGCCTTTTCTACTCTGAGCATGCCAAACTGGACAAAGTATCTGCTGAAAGCTGTCTACAATTGGCCTATGAAAAGACTGAACATCAAAGAAAACTGGCAAATTAACAACCTCTTATTTGGAAGACTCAAGTACCCTGGCCATATCATACACTGCAATGGTTGGGGGGGGGGGGGGGGGGGGGGGGGGGGGGGAGAGAACAGCCAGTGGAGGCATGGTACCAGAAAGAGAGGCAGGGGTTATATAGCACGACTGTGGGCAAAAGACATGGGAAACACTCTGGGCAGGAAACTGCACAAGGTGTAAGAGGTGGCAAGAGACCAAGAAAGCTCTTATGGCAAGTACTGTCCGTGATAAGTTTAAAATATAATTTAAAAAAACTCAGTTTTGTGGAAAAGAAATTAAGTGTGAATTCCAGGGCTTCAATTTAAGGGAGGAAATGAACAGACCCATTGTCTCTAGCAAGCATGTCATAAAAGACAAATAATTAAGGTTTTGCCTTTCAAGTCAGAGTGTTTCACCCCAGGAGGTGAGAAATTAGCAGGCTATACAAAAAAATATGAGATCTGTCAAATGAATGTGCACAAACAATTTTCAGTCCTGGAACAATACTTGAGTAGAGAGGTTGATAAACAACAACAACTTTGCGTTGCAGTTTAGCTGGTGAACATCAAGTAGAAGAAGAGAGTAAAAGACGGTGATGTTAGAGGTACTGGCAGTAGCACACAGTTGCTGAAAGAAAGACCTCAGTCCAATAATGTAAGCAGAACAGAAATGAGCAAGCAGTCCAACTGCCAAGCAATGCAGAAACGCATGCAGGAAAAAGCATGGGCAGAAAATATCAACACCGTACAGAGAGAGCTAGTCGATACTGATCAGTTGTCCAACCCGACTGTGTAACCTGGGTGTCAAGCATGGTGAAGCATGTGTACGCCACTCTCAAGGCGAGACAGAAGACTTTACAGCCAACTCCTCATGGGATCAATCAGTAAATGTACCTTAGAGTGGCTGCTGCTGCATCAGAGGACTGAGAATGCCAAATGCAGTGACATTAATAATGCTTACATACTGTGAGCACAGAAATGTAGAAACAATTACACGTATCCAAAAAAGAAATAGATCACTGAATGTATTTTACATGTGACACAGTGATGACAACTAAAAGCTAAACAATGAGTGTCTACTCTTAAACTATAACAAACTTAATTTTCATCAACACAACATTATACTATACCATGTAGGAAAAAATTACTACAATTGTATCTACAGCAAGCAAGATACAAGTCTTGTCAACTTCAACCCTTTGGAGATGGTGCAGCCGACTTATTGGTCCAACACAAATTAGCCAAAAAAAAACGGCTAAGCCAATCGGGCTGCCCTATTATAATACAAGCCTTGAGATTGGCTGGCAGATTTTTGTACCAGCCAATCAGATTGCTTCTCGCATTTTTTGCACATGTGGGCTGTTCAATGGCAGCTTTTGAAAAAGGATGTTTTCTGTAATTTTACATTTTGTGTGTGTGTGTGGGGTTACCTGTGCAAACAATGACAAAAAGAACTGTTGCGTCATAACAACCAAAACATAGCAGCAGGAGGCAGAAAAAGGAGCAGAACCATTAGCTAGAAGTGTCTGAAGGACCTCCATGGGCCCTACTTCCTAAAACACAGGTGTTAAGAGGCTTCATCACTTAAAAAATTCACTATATTTTTCAGGTTAGTCATGTTTGTTCTCAAGTTTATATCACAATAAAAAAAATTGTACATGAATTATGCAAATCAGAATAGCTGGTTTGAAAAAATTTTGAGATTTCAGTTTAATTCATGAATATTTTGTTAGCTCACTTAATTTCCTAAATGAATATATCTATATAGCTTTGTGCTAGCGCATTGGTTAAACCTGACTAAGCAGCGACCGGGTAACAAACTCCTTGTGGTCCGGGGTTCATGCCCGGGGGTAGGCAGAAAAGCCACATTTCTCCCAGATTTACGGTATTTACCATGGCAAGACTGAAATCCAAAATGCAAAGTACCAAGCCAAAGGGTTAACAACTCATGGTTTCTGTATACATGAGAAAATAAGTATGAGTTAATTAAACGCTTAATTTGTTTTTAAATTTGTGTATGTGTAAACTAAGAGAATACCCTCCAGAAGGCTCTGTCTTCTTGACACTGAAACTTCTAAAAGGCTCCGTCTCCAAAGGGTTAATACAGTAGAAATATGATTTGGTACATTAACAGCAAAATGCATGAAATGAATTTTAAGTAAACATTCTAACTAGTGAAACTCTCAAAACACAAAGGAAGTGAAAATGTGAGTAACATGGAAACATTTTGTTGAAAATATGGCCTTCAGTTGTGGAAGAGAAGTTCTAGGAAGCCACAGGATGTCAGTCATTTAGGAAGACAACCATTGAGGTGATCTAACAGAGAAACGTAATGTATTACTGGCTGGAAGTTGACCAATGAGGTTTTCAAACAGAGATATGTCAAGTATCATTGGTGGAAAGTTGACCAATGAGATGTTCTCTAAGAGTCAGGTGTTAAGTATCACTGGCTGGAAGTCGACCAATGTGTTCAAATAGAGATATGTCAAGTATCATTTGTGAGAAAGTTGACCAATGAGATATTCTAAGAGAGATGTGTCAAGTATCATTGCTGTGAAGTTGACCCAACAAGGTGATCTAAAAAAGACAGATGAGTTTACTACATGTGTGTACATACATGCACTTGTCAGCATATTTGTAAACGTACGTACACACATGTAGGTGGGCATGCATGCGTGTCACAAGATTTCTATCAATACTTGCATACATATATATTGCTATGATTACTGCCAAAAGATTAAAAATATATAAGCACTGCGCACAAGAAAAATAATTGTCTTTTAAAGGCTGAAAAAAATTCACTGCTTTAAGACAAAGTATTTCCGTTTGAAAACAAGTGTGTGTAAGTGAAAACAGAAACAGTGGCGCACAGGTCAGGTGGCACAAATAACTCTTTCAGTCCAAACATTTGTGGTTTTAACTCATTCAGTGGGGTTATTTTCTCCTGACACTTCTCTTTCACATCTGCTGTTACTGTTTCAAGTCTTCAGGGAGACAAGTTCTGCTTCCTGCTACTTCGACCACATGCACCCAGGACCTTTGTAGAGTTTCTGTGATGCTATCTTCAGTTCTTGACTGTTTTTGCTCTACGTCGTGTAACCTCAAGCACAGACTCACAGCACTATTGTACAGATTCTCTGGTGTTATTTCTAGATCTTGTTTATTCTTGGTCTGTCTCATGTTCTCTCGCAATGTACCTCACCAGGACATCACACAAGCGATAAACACCCGGTGACACAAAGTGCCACCATGCGGATGAGGATCACCTGTGAAGAGGTCCCACAAACCCCTTTCAGCCGTTAGGTCATATTTCAAGCCCGGCTATATTCAGGGCCCCCGGAAAAAGCCAGGGTGGGGCTTTAAATAACAAACAATTGCATATCCCGCATGGAGACTACAAGTTACGTATGAATATCTCATGCTCCCCATCCATCGCTTTTTATAGTAAAGTATTGCAAGGCATTCTCTCTTAGTGGGCAACTAATTTTATTTGCTGTCTTTGTATGTAATTTAGTACTGGTTCTACACTGACTTCTGTTACTGCATTCTCAATTATGACCTTTTCTGGTGACTCCTGCAGCCTTTCTCAGACATGGTTACTAATTTCCTGACTGACTGACTGTGACGGACAATGTCTAGCACTGGTAGCATTGCGTGCAAATAAATATTTAACCAAAGAAGAAAAATATGTTTATTTTTATACTGCAAAAATTACTTTTAAAAAAAAAAACCTAATAAACTGGAGATGTGAAAGTCATATTTGCAACAGTATGTTAATGAAGCAAACGGATGAAACAGAATGTGATGAGGAATGAATCCTATCGTTTTAGAATTAGCAACAAACACTCTTGATAGCAAACACAGCGAATGGATTCAAGCTGAGCCTACAACTGACAGAAACATTCTATGCTGTGCCGCATTACTGCATATGTTAGCCTACGTACAGATAAACAGCATGAGGGAACCATGACTGTATAAAGTCCCGCTATCTACATTAGGTGGCCAGATATTTGATAGAGACACAGGCCAAAAACAGTTTTAAAAAAAACTGTTTACAATCAGGCAGTTTATGCCAAAACAATCTTTCAAATACAGGTGACTTTCTCTTTCAGCGTACTGTTTTAAAATGAAGACTTGTCTTATGAGACATAAATGTTATGATGATCCATCAACTACTTCCTCTTTCTCTCTCACGTGCACACTACTCACACACATACATCAGATACATTCACAAACACACAGGATTACATTGGCCAGGGCTCAATCGCCTTTCTTATCATCATCCTCATTATCATTGTGTGTGTGCCAGGTAAGGCGCTCCTCATAAAATGCTATAACGATTTGTGGACACTTGATGTTGGCCTGTCTGGCTGGAACCAAGTCTGCTTCATCGCTGTCCTTCCTGCAGAAAGAGATTTTTGAGGAATTGATGAGGGAGAATCAAAGTCACATGTGTGACTTACCCTGAGGAACTAAGATACTCAAATTGACAACACTGAATGAGGAACTAACACTTCGGATAAAACCATACGACGAGAAACTAAAATACTCCGAGTGACAGCAATACATGACTATCTAAAACATTCTGTCGAATTTTTAAAAAATTATTATTAACCAACCCCTTCCCCGCTGTTTGTAATCCCATTCAAACTGAACACTGCATAGGGGTAAAGAAAACAATAGGGTAACTTGGCTTGTCTGACCAATTGAAAAAATGGGGCATATTTAGTGACATGAAAGAGTGGGTTAATGATATATTACATGTTGCCCTTTAGCTTATAGAGGACATCCAAGAGAAATCTGAAGGTAAATGATGACAAGAGGCCAAAGGTGCTGGATCGGATTCCATCCATGATAGAGTAATTGTATAGAACAGAGAAAAAGACTGTGAGCCCAATGTGACATGATGGCACAACAGGACAATGAATGAATGAATGAATGAATAGGTTAACTTCTCCTTTAGATACTGCCTGATGCAGCTCTCAACATCTAGCTAGCTAGCTAGTTAGATAACTGAGAGATTATCCTCACTGCCAATCAGAAAACTCCATTAGTGCTTGGATCCCACCTATAGTATATCCCCCAGCATGTGGCCACTGGTAACACCTGTTCTGTGTTCAGTTTACTAATCTTCTTTGGCTACATGTATAGTTTTCATGTTTGGCGACACCTCTTTTGACCTGCAGTTCTTGTAGTATTTTGAGTGTTGCTGATTCAATGTCGTCTCCTGAATCATCTTCCCGTCCTGCCTCCTTAAGAGCATTGAGAATGTTGGCCTGGTCCATTGCTTTTCCCATACCTACCGTGGCCCTGCCAGCAAGCCAATCAGCTCATTCATTCCCTCTTACTCCAATGTCCTGGCACATAAAAATGAAACTAATTCCTTGCAGACTAGATTTCATCAGCGACTCTAAACATTTTCTTAAAATCCATTCTGTCTCTCTCTTTTTCAGCGTGATCACGGAATCACATAGAAAGCATGCATGGGAAAAATGCTGTCTCTAGCCACATCATAGTTTTGTTACCGCAATCACCGCCAGTCAAACAGATTACAGTTAAGGCAAAGGCTTTTCCTTGGACCAAAACCGTGAAAGCCGATGAACTTTGTACGCGTCGAATGATGAATCCGTCAGTGTAGACAACTGCACCTCGTCAGCAGAGTTTTTATAAATTACATCTTTAAGTTCTGCCTCAACCACCAACTGGCCCTGTTGTCTGCAACCTCTACCCAGTTTTATGCAGACTAAAAAGGATATATCCTACTCTGCTGTCACTTGTATCCATTCTTCACCAGGTTCTCTGTACTCAATTGAATAAATTTGTTGAATAATGCTCTTAGCCTGACCCACCCAGGATTGTCCGCAATTTTATTATCTCAGCATATTTGCTTATCTGTATTTTTTTTTTTTAAATACATTATTCATATTCTCCACAGTTGCTGCCTGATCACCATACTTAAGGCCTTTTCATGACACATACAATTCATTAGTGTATTCTATTCATTTGTTTTCTGTCAGTAGTCAAAACATAGGATTTGAGTAGATTATATCAATGAACCACTAGAATTCAACAATAGGGCACACTACCTACTCCAAACTTTCACTCACACTATTCACTCTAAACTTTCACTAAATATCTTTCCACTTTCACTTTATCTACAAGGAGTACTAGAGTCAAGACCCTTTCTCACACCTTCAGGCGTACTGGTCACAAATTTAAAAATAAAAAGTAAAGGATCCTTTTCCACGCCTTAAGGCATATAGGGCTAGACCTATATTTTTATAGACCAATCGGCACAAGATAGGTGATGTGGTCAGTATCACGCCGGCCGCCTTCACTTTCCCGGGATTGCACCCGGTACCCACTCAAGGCTGGGTCGACCTGGGAGCCAAGGTCATTTTACTGGTCACATATGGCAAAACCTAATTTTTTACACCAATCGGCACACGGTGAGATGTGGTCAGCATTACTTCACAGGACTATCTGGTACCCAATTGAGGCTGCATCGACCTCAGATCCCAGGTTATTTCTGAACTCACAATCTTTGGATAAGGATACTAAACAGACATTAAAACAACTGTTCTAATAATTCATGGAAAACACACAATTCAAAGAAAACTCAGTTCATTAAACATATGGTGCAACTCAAGAATCTCACCCCCATCTCGCACGGTTGCGAGATTTCCTATTCATTCCCATGGGCTGTCCTACGTTAGAGGGGTGTCAGGTGTTGCTTCTTTCATTTTAAGCAAATACACTGACAAGCATTAAAAAAAAACAATGTTTTTATACACATGAACCGTTGCACATTTGTGCTTTTTCCTGCAGTATTCCTTCTTTGTACACAGGCGCCATAGTTACAACAACACGTCCGAGAAACGTCAGTGGTTCACAGAAAAGACAGCTGCGACAAGAACGCTGCACTATTTCATCTGGGAGACATTGTGTCGATGACATCAAACAAATGGAAGCCAGTTTTCGTCACGGTGTGTGCAGACGGGGAAGAAAAGCATCTCATAACATGCTTAGAAAATAGGACAGCCCAAGCGGGATAGAGAGAATTCTGTGATTAGTATGAGTCATGCACAACAAAAATGGATCAGCACAAAACTCACCATTTCATAAGAAACATAAGCTCTCCACTGCTATCTGTTGCTCCAATAATCCTTTCTGGTGCTAGGCCGCGATCAAACCCTCGTGGTTTGTTATCTGCTTCCTGGATTGGAGAAGTGAAATTATCTTGTTAGTCATGACTGCCACTGTGTGACAAGTTCTCCTGCAGTAGTTTGAGACATCGTGCTGTCACCTATACTGGATTACATACTTTTAAAAAACTACGGTATTTTCCTGTTCAAATAAAAAAAAATGTAAGCCATATGATTGTGCTTTCCTGTTAAAAACAAACATTTAATTATCTGATGGTGCTTTCCTGCTTTTTAAAAAAAAAATAACGCATGGCCACTGAAAGAAAAATAATTTTGACACTTCAAAATCTTTGTGATTTGTTCTAGCCTTTTTGTTATGAATGCACCAGCCATTAGGTTATAAATGCACCAGCCATTAGGTTATGAATGCATCAGGCATTAGGTTATGAATGCACCAGCCATTAGGTTACGAATGCACCAGCCATTAGGCTACGAATGCACCAGCCATTAGGTTATGAATGCACCAGCCATTAGGCTACGAATGCATCAGCCATTTGGTTATGAATGCACCAGCCATTAGGTTACGAATGCATCAGGCATTAGGTTATGAATGCACCAGTCAATTGGTTACGAATGCACCAGCCAATAAGCTACATGTGCACTAACCACTAGGTTACAAGTACAGTAACTACTAAGTTGCAAGTACAGTAACCATTAAGTCACACATACATCAACAACTAAGTTAAAAGAGCACTAACCACTGAGTCAAAAGTACACCAACAACTAAGTTACAAGAACTAACCACTAAGTTACAAGCACATCAGCCACTAAGTTACAAGTACACTTACCACTAAGTTACACTAACCATTACATTACAACTACACTAACCAAGTTACAAGTACATCAACCACTAAGTTATAAGTACATCAACCACTAAGTTACAAGTACACTAACTGGGCACCCCTACAAAAATCAGTCACCCTGTAACGCCAGGCTATGTGAACCTATATGATGTTACATCAATTTTGTTCAACCCACTGAATATAAAATAAAATAATTCCCTGCGTGGGCGTGGGTCCTCATTGTGGGCAAAACAGGAACCCGGGCCTCCCCAACAAACTAGGAAGTCGACTAAATCCGAAGGGTGTTCGGAACCTTCTTCAAAGTAATCTTTCTTTTTCTTCTTATCCTCATAGGCTGCAATCAGATCCGGACAGTCGAGGTTCTCCTCGGGCTCCCAGGTATTTTCTGAGCTGTCCAGAGAACGACTTGATTAGAGCAGAAAAACATTTCTATTGGGGAAAAACAATCTGCCTTAGTCATGCTTTGGTGTTCATTAGTGAGCAGAACTAACCTGTTATACATGGATACCAAAGACTAATCTATAGACCTGTAAAGTCTACATAAAAACACCAAAACCAATGTGTACTTTTGCAGTTCAGTCAATTGATCAGTCCATTAATATCTCACTGCATTCTTTGTAGTGATAAAAAATCCACTGCCTGCTTGCTAGGTCTGTCAGTTTGACCACAGCCCAGTCGGCCAGGACATGTCGGGGTGACCCAGGATGGGTTTCATGGTTTCATAGCACAAAGTCATACCAGACTTCACCCAATCCTAACAAAAAGATATCAAAGAAACTCTACAACAGCAGGATGTGTCTATGGTTGGCCAGAAGAGCAAGAGGCAGAACTTTATCTTCCTCAACATCCAAACCAGTAAAAAAAAAGGAAGTGAAGAAGAAGATGTCTAGTTATGCTGTCTACAAGATAAAAATCAATACTGCTTGACATCATAGCATGGACAAGTGGGGCGGTGGAATACAGCACCAGTTGGAGCCACCTGAAATCACTTAGAGGTACAATATTAGAGAAAAAAGAATGAGGTAACCCAGAGATTAAAATTTACAGGCAGGTACAAATTTCTGAATGCAGATGCAGAAATTAAAGAGACAATACAAGGCAGCTACTGTAGAGCAGAACGTCCCAAACTTCATGACCAGCAGAAGGACGGATATGATGATGCTGCCGTTATGTTGTCCGTATCAACATCAAAGCACATCAGTCTGACCCACCATATGTTGTCCATATCAACATCCAAGCACATCAGTCTGACCCACCGTATGTTGTCCGTATCAACACCCAAGCACATCAGTCTGATCCACCGTATGTTGTCCGTATCAACACCCAAGCATATCAGTCTGACCCATCGTATGTTGTCCGTATCAACACCCTAGCACATCGACCTGACCCACTGTATGTTGTCCGTATCAACATCCAAGCACATTGGTTTGATCCATCGTATGTTGCTTGTATCAGCATCCAAGCACATCGGTCTGACCCACCGTATGTTGTCCATATCAAGATCCTAGCACATTGGTCTGATCCACCGTATGTTGTCCATATCAAGATCCTAGCACATCGATCTGACCCACTGTATGTTGTCTGTATCAACATCCAAGCACATCAGTCTGACCCACCGTATGCTGCCCATATCAAGATTCTAGCACATTGGTCTGATCCACCGTATGTTGTCCATATCAACATCCTAGCACATCGATCTGACCCACTGTTTGTTGTCTGTATCAACATCCAAGCACATCAGTCTGACCCACTGTATGCTGCCCATATCAAGATTCTAGCACATTGGTCTGATCCACCGTATGTTGTCCATATCAACATCCTAGCACATTGGTCTGACCAACTTGTGCTTCTTGTGAAGCCAGCCAGAAAATGGTCCTGAGTCCTCTCTTGCAGTGATTACAATGTTATGGTAAAATGGCACAGAGGTAGATCATCAACTTGTAGCTCAAACAGATCTAGTTAACAATCTATGGCCTGAAATTTTTCCACAATAAGAAACCTAAGGGTGGCACTAATGATACTGTGTTCAGAATTTAGTAAAGGCAACAAAGTAGAAAGACCTCTGCACACATCAACATGTTTCGCTAGTTAGAAATTAAAAAAAAAAATGTTATATATAGCATTAGCAAACATTAAGAATTGTAAAATCATAAATTGTTTTTCTTTTTAACCAACAGTTCATACATAGTTCAGCACTTAACTCTTTGAGTCCCAGGGGGTTTTAGCATCAAAGGCCTAAGAGGTAGTCAAGAGAGATGTAAAATCGGTGCATCTTGCATTCATTGGGCTTCTAGGTAGGAATCTATGAACTCATGATAGGTTCCTTGGGACTCAAAAAGAGTTAAACAATGAGCTAATCTATGAATTAAAGCATGTCATCTAAACAGCCATCATTCAGCCATTCTGTAATGCTGCCCTGCCAGTAGACTATAAGCTAACTACCCACTACTGTGTATAGCTAGCAAGAAAGAGCTGTGTGGTCATGATGTAGCATTGAGCACATATGTTTTGAACTGACGAGAAAAGTTCACAGGGATCAAGTTTAGCCCATGCACGTATATTCAGGCTGTATTCCTGATTCAAAATCTTTCTGCAGCTGACTTAAGATGAAGCCAGGCTGTGGTGTGCTGCACAATTTCTGTATGTAACAATAAACTTATTACCAAAGTCACAGAACGCATTTATGAAGATTACTGTGAAAATAACAGCAGATGAATGTTTGTCTGACTTTGTGTTCAGAACAATATGACAGAGTTGCACGCTCACATGGGAACTAAACAGTTTATCATGTCTGTCAGAATACACAGGAGATATCAATCCACTGAGCCACTAAAAGGCAAAATAACAGTTAGTCTAGATGATCTAATTCACTGCACTATGGTTTACCCCATGGTTCTGCTTCTATCCAGAGTGATCTGTCACCTCCCAAGAGCATGGTGACACAAAGCAAAAGCTCTGGCTCCAGCAAACAATTCTCAGAGACTTCTGTAAACACTTGCACCCACAAACTAAAAAGTCAGTCTGTGAAACGAAGCTATCATCTTCATTCAGGGTGCCTGTAAATCGGCCTGACCACTTCGCCAAAAAGAAGGCAAAGTTTTAAAAAACTTTTTTTTTTTAACCAGTGCTGAAATGAGACATTTAGGTGTGGGTTCTGGAGTCCTATTGTGGGGTAAAACAAAGAGGAATACATCTGTGGTCTCATTGTGTGATGAAACAAAAAGGAATATATCTGTGGAAGGGGTCAACTAATTATGAGATTCCTACAAAGTCGGGGGAGTGCATCTGCCTGAACGGCAATGAACCAAGTGTCTGCATACAAATAAGCCAGATCTGTCAAATGGATGTGCATGAGTTCTGGAAAGAGACTACAGCCCAGAAGTGGACAAACAACCACAACTGTTAATAGCTGGTAGACGTGAAGAAGAAAAGAGAAGGACCAAGAACATAACAATTCACCAGACAAACAGATAAGGACATAAGATGTGAATCACCCAACAAATACTGCAGTACAATGTGTGAAATCATCAAAATCAATACAACAGATCCCAATATGGAGATAGGTGACCAGTATTATTCCTAAACCACAAATCTCTACTTACTCTGGATAGCCTTTCCATTTCAACAAGTATTCTTTTTTCCCTCCCCGCATTCTGGAGTCGACCACCTTTTCTACAGTGAATTCCTCTTCCGGTTCTTCTCCTTCAGCAACAGTATCATCTTTTGGCTTTTCTGAAAAACAGTGAAATTATGAGTATAAACAGGGTATTCCATACAAGCAAATTTTAAAAAATCACCATCATCATCAACCATGTCTGTCCGTCAGGGAAATCATTTGCGATCCAGTGCATGTATGTCCTTCAGCGGAATCCTTTGCCATCCAGTGCATGTATGTCTTTCAGCGGAATCCTTTGCGATCCAGTGCATGTCTGTCTTTCAGCGAAATCATTTGCGATCCAGTGCAGGCTGGATGACACTGGCTACTGTCACACCCAGACAGCAATAAGTGTCTTTAATGTTGTCAATCCAATATTTTCGTAGCCTTCCTCTTTCTCTTGTAGCTGATCTTCTGAGAGGTAGTGCCAGTGATGTTACATGACTTTGCTGTGTTCTAAAAAGCACAAAACAATCTAGAGAAATTATGTGACTTAAAAACAAGGTGAAATCAACAAATGAATCAAAAGACATCCCAGCACTCATTGCACTCCCACATGTGGTCTGTCCCCATCCTCAACAGCCAACCAAGAGTTCCCAAACTGATGCCAGTTTTAACATCATTAAAAGTCCACCTGTCCTTTTTCCATGCGTGCTGAGAAACCTCCAAACCCTCTACCTACCCCTTGCAGAGTAAGTCTTTCAAGATATGGATGCTTCAGGGAAAAGTCCCGATTGTTTGTCCCTTTGGACTTTGGCTTTAAGCCAGAGCCTTAATTTTGCGTACACATCCGCTTTACTTGCTTATTTGTTGACAGCTGGCTGGTTATTCTCTGTCGCACATTAAGATGTACTCTGACTTCGAAGAAGGCTCCAATCATCAGTCAACTTCTATGACATGCTTGTTGGGAAGACGGTGGGTCTATTCTGGTTTTCCTCGGGGAGACAGTGGATCTATTCTTGTTTTCCTCGGGGAGACAGTGTCTATTCTTGTTCTCCCCACATTGTGAAGCACTGTCCATCAGATCCCAGACCATACCACATTCGCATCATAAAGTAGCTCACCACCCAGAGTCATTTTACTCTCAACAGAGAGCAAGTAGTGTCCAATAATTGTCTTTCAATAGCACCACTCAGTTAAATACAGATGTGCTCTGGGTCGATACTAGATCAACTGCTTTTTGCAAACATATATTTATGACCATCAATTATATTTCAGTATAACATCTGATATACATGCTGACGACTTAATCTTTTTTAAACTTAGCTGCAACTGCATGCAAATTAACATAAACAAAATTAAATCTTTGCTTATAACAAACAGACAAGTTACAAAATATTAGCATCATCTTGCCAAAATTCAACTTTTTGTATGAAAATACATAAATATTGTACTTACTAAATCGAAACACATTGATTATTGTTTCTTTTTTTTGGGGATGGCTGCTCCAATTCTAATTTTAAAAGACTACGTTGTCTTAAAAAATGGGCATTATGATTAGTTTTCAATAGAAAACTCATCAACAAAAATAACCTATCTGGCCATATAAAATTTCTGCATAAAATCCTATCTCAATATACTCTAAATTGCCTCTTCCAATGGATTCAATCCAATATTATGAACAGCAAACAACAAGTTTAATACAAGAGGCTCGGCCAAGAATACATTTAGATAAAACAAGTTTAGCTTACTCTGCAGCTCATTTACGGAACCATCTCCCGCTTGATCTGAAAAATCCAATTAGTTCCTACACATTTAGCCATAAACTTGTTCGGTTCATTCGTACTAGTACATGCCACCATAATTAAGTTAATAATATCATAACACATTATTATTAATAACAAAATGTGATGTGTGTGGTAGGTATGTAGGATTGTTTGAATGTGTGTGTGTGTGCATGTATGCTGATGTATGTGTGTGTATGCTGATGTACATATGTGTGTATGTGTATGAAAGAGTTATTGTATGCGTGCATGGTACTTATTGATAATATTTAAATGGGTGTATAATATAGGTGATATGATAGTGATTTATATTTGTGTAAGAAAGTATATGTATGTGTGCGATTGTATAAATTATATATATTTGTGTAAGAAAGTATATGTATGTGTGCGATTGTATAAATTTGTGTGAATGTATGCATATATGATTGTGTGTACATTCTAAGTGTGTTGTGTGTATGTATGCATGTAAATACAAGTTTGTATAAATGTATATGATTTGTGTGTATAAGTGCTTTTGTACATATTTATAAGTATCAATGTGTATATATATATGAGTTATGTGCAGTTTTAATTGTGTATATATGAGTTATGTGCAGTTTTGATTGTGTATATATGAGTTATGTGCAGTTTTGATTGTGTATATATGAGTTATGTGCAGTTTTGATTGTGTATATATGAGTTATGTGCAGTTTTGATTGTGTATATATGAGTTATGTGCAGTTTTGATTGTGTATATATGAGTTATGTGCAGTTTTGATTGTGTATATATGAGTTATGTGCAGTTTTGATTGTGTATATATGAGTTATGTGCAGTTTTGATTGTGTATATATATATGAGTTATGTGCAGTTTTGATTGTGTATATATGAGTTATGTGCAGTTTTGATTGTGTATATATGAGTGTGTGTATTTTCTTCTTCGTGTTCACCAGCTTAAAAACTCTGGCAAAAAGTTCTGGTTGTTCATCCACTTTTGGACAGCAGTCTCGTTCCAGAACCCGAGTGTTGCGTGTGCATCCGTTTTACAGATCTGACTCAGTTGTATGCAGACTGCTAGTTCCTTGCCTCTCTGGCAGATGCACTGTATGCAGGAATGTGCATCCGTTTTACAGATCTGACTCATATGTATGCAGACTGCTAGTTCCTTGCCTCTCTGGCAGATACACTGTATGTAGAAATGTGTGCACATGAACTTGATGTATAAGTGTGTAAATGTATGTAAAGTGAGTAGATGGACAAATGTGTGCGTATCTGTCTATTTATGAGTGTGTGTATGTATGTGTAATCCATAAAAGAAAATCAGTAACAGAAATCTTCTGTGCATTCACCGGAAAGTTCTGCCTGTTCATCTACCTCTCGACTTTAGTCTTGTTCGCTGAACCCGAGTGTCATGTGCACATCTGTTTAACATATCTGACTAACTTATATACAGATTGTTAGTTGCTGGCCTCTCAGGCAGATGCTCACCGACTCTGATTGAAGCCCACCTGGCACCCAATACATTATGACAAGCTTGTTAGGGAGGCAGTAGATTTTTCCTTGTCTTCCCCACAATGGGGTCCTGGAGCTCACAGAGGGAGTCAATAAAGAAATGAGATGTCTGAGGCTGCACAAGTGATCCAAGAAATACAATCAGAAATGAGGTCACAAGAAAAACAGCATGCCCACATAGAGAGAATGCCTGGTGGCAACAAACCATACAAGGCATACACCAAAATAGGAGAACGTAGAGTACAGGGTAGACTAAGAAGATGGAAACAAAGAAACTCTACAATAGCACAACATGTCTATGACAAAACAGCAAGCAGAACCTTATACCCCCCCCCCCCCCTCTTTTTCCTCCCGAGATACACAAAGCGGTGAAAGATTGAAGAAGAGAATATGTATGTATTTTTATGCCTATATGAATGTGTACATGTGGATGCCATGTATATGAGTATGTGTGTGTGATAAGTGCATAGGGTAAGTGTGTGTGTGTGTGTAGATGTGTGATTATGTGTATATATAAGTGTTAGGTTTTAAATGTATGGGTGTGTGTCAGAACAAACGTGTGTGTTATGTATGTGAGAATGTGTGTATGCAAGTTTTATATGTATGGGTGTGCGTCAGAAAGAACGTGTGTGTTTTGTATGTGAGAATGTGTGTATACAAGTTTTATATGTATGGGTGTGTGTAAGAACGAACATGTATATGCATAAGTGTATGAAATGTATGGGTGTGTGTAAGAATGAATGTGTGTAGCATGTATGTTTGAATGTATGTATCTACTCTTGCATTTTTTTTCACCTTACTTTTACTATGTATTGCTATATGAACATAATATGCTTTGTAGAAAAAATACAGCTTATGCATGAAACATGAGTGTCTGGAAGAGCCCAACATAAAATAGGCATGTGTGCCCAATTTGTGACTCTTTTGAATCAAAACAAATTTTATTTGTCGGAGATGAAGCAGCAGCAGCCAATTTATCAACTAGCATGGTAAAACTATAAATAATCAATGATTAATAACAACCGTAACACCCAAGTATCTGACTCCACAGCACTGGCAAAGATTCCAATCACGACTTTCAGTAAAAACTAAGGGTAACTAGGTGGCTAATGAAGTTATTTGTTACTAGACAGGGTTTACTGATGCAAAATTCCCATTTCTGGACCCGGAGTCCAAAAGTTCCATCATCAAGCTCCTAAGCTGAGTGCTTGGTGTGACACTGAGACGTGATTACACATAGAATGAGTTTTTCTGGTGTTCCGACAACAGATTGTTGTAAACTGCATTAAAAATGACAGATGGCTGATTGCAATCGGAATGATGTATACTTATGTAGTATTGCATGTTCAACGCTGGCTTTCGTAACTGACTGACTGCATCAACAGCAAGCTGCACATCTGATGTGGGACTATTAGCGTTGGCACATCTGAAGCCTATCTTATGCGTTTATTTTGTGTTACGAGCTTCAAGACCTTGCAGGGACTGACATGTTTTCCACTAGTTTACAAATGTGACAGTGACAAACATTCTGTCTGATTTACACTAGCACGGGAATGCAGCAGTTATGGGGCAGCCTGTTTGGAGTAAAGTTGGAATCTCAACTAACAATAGATCTCAGTCAATGTCCTTCTGTGAGGGATCTTTAAGTGTTTAAAAAACATATTCTTAAGTTCTGAGGTGGGTAAAGTAAATTTAACCCATTCCACCTTCTATCAAAAATCTACAAATCAAATGACGGCAAAACTTGAACTTACACTAAATATCATGACTGCAAGAATCAATAACCAAAAGAAAACATGAAAAAACTAACATCAACAAAGTGAAAAAAACTAGTCACAACTTACCAGACATCGTAAAAGAAATGTATGACCTCTAGGTACAAGGTCTGGACAATCTGTGAGATGAAGCAAGACCATATTAGATACCATACAAATTATACACACACTATTGAAATCCATCTCTTATCCAAGCATGAATAAAAATACAAACATTACTATGCTTTATGGATAAGATCCATGTTCTTCTTGTGATCGCGCTCTGATTTACACTGACAGATGAGTTTTGTGCATGTTCTTCTTGTGATCGTGCTCTGATTTACACTGACAGATGAGTTTTGTGCATGTTCTTCTTGTGATCGTGCTCTGATTTACACTGACAGATGAGTTTTGTGCATGTTCTTCTTGTGATTGTGCTCTGATTTACACTGACAGATGAGTTTTGTGCATGTTCTTCTTGTGATCACGCTCTAATTTACACTGACAGATGAGTTTTGTGATAAAACTTACTGGGTTTTTTTTTTTCTCTTTTGGTTCCATACAACTGTTGACTCACTAAGCCAGTATTGAATTCTTAATGGGCTGTACAGGGGACATTCATTCAGGACACGTTCTGAAGTCTGGACACACAGCCCACATAAGCATAATGGTAAACTAATCAGATAAAACCTTTGCATATGCTTGTCAAGTCTGTTATGCCCTGTCCTGAGTTGTATAAGGATGACCTGTCCATGTCGGTCAAGTAAGTGGTAGTCGTCTCTGGTCAGATTCTTTCACTTCTGATAGATTGGACGGCCCTTTTTTCTCAAAGTATGTTATAGCAGTGTCCTGATCAAATTTGGCCCCTTTCTTAGCAAGTTTATCCAGTTCTGTTCCCTGGTATACAGCAGTAGGATGGCACCCATTGGAGTACAGTACGCTTTTGGGCAGCCACCTTGCCAAGTTCAGATCTCAGGTGAGGGAGTTTACTAATCTTGAGGGCTTGAAGCAAACAAAAGCACATCTGTGAAGATGACCACTTGGTGGCAGTCAGAAATGGTAACAATTCAGCAGCCTGCTCTAGGGCGGGGAATTCTGCTGTGCAGTTGAAACAGAATTAAACAATTGGTATAAATGTTTGTGTGGCTGTGGTTGTCTGGATATGTGATAAAGATGCTAAAACAACTACTTTTAACTGCACACTAGCCCTACAAGCAAGTTAAACTCAACATTTTGAGATTATGTATCTTTTATGGACTCTTACTCTGTCTTTGAAGTAAAGAATCTGAACTGAAATGGTACAGGAACAATTCTTTAAATACTGTGGACCGAGAAGAGGAAAAGCAACATCCTGTATGACCTGAACATCAAGGAGAACTGTCTCATAAACAGCATCCTCTCCCAAAAGCTGGGGTAATTCAGACATGTCAAACGTCATGGTGGTCGGAGAGAATAGTGAAACAAGGCAGATGCAGACTATTGTGAATGTGATATACAGGACGTTGAAGATACACTGGCTATGAAAGCACACAAAGCAGGAGAAGAGCTCAACGGGGACCCAAGAAATAGTTCTTATCAGAAATTCCTCTTAACCAGGATAAGATTTCAGGCAAGAAAAAATGCACAGGATAAACAAATTACTGTTCATACAAGAAATGATAGATCGCCTTAAGGTGTCTTCATGAAAGTAGGTCAGCTTCGGAGGTTGCCAAAAGTGGCCTGCACTGGTGGGGTAACAAAGATCATTTTTGTGTCAGTGGCCACTCATTGTGGTTACTGTATCCCCACGTATTTCAGGCAAGAAAAAATGCACAGGATAAACAAATTACTGTTCATACAAGAAATGATAGATCGCCTTAAGGTGTCTTCATGAAAGTAGGTCAGCTTCGGAGGTTGCCAAAAGTGGCCTGCACTGGTGGGGTAACAAAGATCATTTTTGTGTCAGTGGCCACTCATTGTGGTTACTGTATCCCCACGTATTTCAGCTGGACTCGTCGGGTCATACTACAGGGCGTTTGGAGCTATTGGTTCACCGCATTTCTTCACAGCAACCAGAGGGAGGAAAGTGGTGGACACTGGATGCATTGAATTTCCAAGGCCTTTCCTGTGTCCATTTCCAACTGGGCCAGGATCAGCCAGGGTACTTGGGCCTAGGTCTTTTTTCTGCACTCAGCACAGGCACTTGCCTTAGGCATCATCTCTTTTATTCTGCACTCAGCACATGCACTTTTTCCTTAGGCATCACCTCTTTTTTTCTGCACTCAGCACAGGCACTTTTTCCTTAGGCATCACCTTTTTTTTCCTGCACTCAGAGCAAGCACTTTTTCCTTAGGCATCACCTTTCTTTTTCTGCACTCAGCACAGGCACTTTTTCCTTAGGCATCACCTTTTTGTTCCCAAAGCGACTGTAATATATACTTTGTAGTGAGTACCGGCACCCTTTTTCAAGAGGGGAAAAATCCCAAATTAGGCCATGACCACAAAAAATCTTATCTTGGTGACTGCATATCGAGCAGACAAGAAGTGTGTCTTTTAGCCACTGTGATGCCAGGGATCCCATTAATGATTTCATGAAAAATTTATTTATAGTTATTAAAATATAATTGTTTAATTCATATTCTAAATGTATACTGTGATCTACAGTAAAACCTCTCTAACACACATTTGAAATTCCAATGGAGTCAAACAAGAGCTCATGTTGAAAATGCATGCATGCTAACCGGTGATTTAATAAATGTTCATGTGTACTAGTACTACTGTATATCACTGTACCATCATTGTCTGGACCAAAATTTTGTGAATGTTTTAACCGAGAGTTCATGTTAACAAGGTTTTACTGCAGTTTATATTAAGTATTAAGAACAAATAATAGAATTAAAATATACTTAAATAACATTACACTTACAAACAACCTACAGGTCATAACACTGAGCTGACATTTCAAACGTAAAAAGAAAAACTAGATATCTTCATTCAGATGCCTCAGTTAAATTTTTATTGAAAAACAACGAAAGTTTAGGGTCACTCGGCTCGTGCGTCGATGAAGAGCGCAGCCAGCTGCGTGAATTAATGTGAATTGCAGAACACATTGAACATCGACATCTTGAACGCACATGGCGGTCTCGGGTCCATCCCGAGGCCACGCCCGTCTGAGGGTCGGCAAACTACTTTAACTGAACAGATAAAAGTAACAGAAATAAATAACATGTTCTGTCCCTGAGGCGTAAGGTTTAAGGATACCACATATTTCAGGCTACAAAAGTAAAACAAAATGAAACTGTTGGGTAGCCAGGGCCTAGAAATGATTGATTATATTGAAACCCATTCCACTTGCACCTCACCAAAGACTACGTATATTATTATTATAAATTATAAGTAAAGAAGGGTAATTTTTTTGGGCAAGTGTGCCTCCTAATATTATTATTATTTATTTGCATTCATAAATGATAAAATAAATAAGACAACGAAAAACTAAATTAAAATGTTTTAATAATATATGTGGACATTCAATTATTATCATAATAAATTATAAATAGTTATTCATTTGCTTGCTAGTCTGTCAATCTTTAATGTTAATGTCAATCATTGAGCATAGATCATTTCATTAGAGAGAGGCAGGCATCAGCTCAGCCATGCTTATGTCTCATAGTAAGTTACTAAGTACAGGACTATATATGCAACTCTAGTCTAGGCTTTGTAGCGCACAGCCAGCATTCAACACTAGAACTTAAAAGAACAATCGTTTTGTAAAGTTCACCGTGTCATGCATAGGCAGACACAAAATTTCCAGACAAATTTGGTTTGGTTTTATAAAATGAACGAGCCCGCCATTTTGATCTCCTGAGGTACTGATTGTTTGAAGAAAACGATAAAGATGACAAGAAAACAACAAGGTAGTCAGGGCAAATTAGTCAGTCATACTGAGACTTTTACATGAAGCAGACAATATACACCCGGCAGAACTTGAAAAAATGATAATTAGTTAATCAACTTACAATGATGGACGTTTAAAATGCTTTTCTTCCCGTCGGATTCTGATTTGACGCATGCGCTGCACAGACTTCCGGGAAATTACATCGCGGGAAGCTACTGTGATTCACTTCTGCTTCTTCTTCTTCTTGCCATACAAGAGACTAATCGCTTTGTTACTATTACACAGTTTCGTCCTAAGGACGAAATTTTTTGTTATTTGAAGCCCCACGCTGGCTTTTGTCAGGGGCCGCAATATAGGCAGGCCATAAATATGGCCAATTGTCTGGACGCGGTTTCTGGGACCTTTCCACAGCGATCCTCACTCACATGGTGGCACTTTGTGTCATCGGGTGTTTATCGCTTGTGTAATGTCCTAGTGGGGTAGACAGTCAGTCAGTCGACTAAACGCTGTGAGGCTTTCAGTTTCGTGGAAAATTTTTCACTGAATACACTACATACCTGTCTGTACCTATTGGGGCCGCGAAACAGGAAAACATGCGGGAGCCACCCGTCGTTACATCAGTGAGAACTCAATGGAAGTTGTTAGGCTAAAAACACTTGGAATCATGTTCAGAAGAAGATCGGAGCACTTGAAAGATCATGTCTTATGTGCTGGATTGACAACATCAAGAAATGAACAGGACTAAGTTATCATACACTTATTCATCAAGCGGAAGACAGAGATAGATTGATGGTTTTGTGTGCTAGTGCTTGCGTGGATACATCTCCACGACCCTACAGGGTCAAGGCTTAAATGTTAAATTAAGAATCAACATCACAGCACTCGGGACACTCCAATAAGTGCTCCGTCCCATCTTCAGCAACAAACGAATCGTTCCAATTCCGATGTCACCAGTAACATTCTGGTTGTGGTCAAGGGTTATGTTATGTTATGGTATGTTATGGTATGTTATGTTATGGTATGTTATGTTATGGTATGTTATGTTATGATTTCAAAAATGAACATTGAACAGTCTACCTTTTCATTCACTTCTCGCCCGGCTCTCTAGCGGAATTGGCTAAACCGGATTTCGCGGAGACCGGGTGACGTACTCCTTGTGGTCCGGGTTCAATCCCGGGGGTAGGCAGGAAAGCCACATTTTCTCCCAGATTTACGGTATTTACAATGGAATCAAGGCCGAAAGGTTCCGATATCCATAATACCGAGCCTAAGGGTTAACAACTCATGGCTTCTGGATACTAAAACAAACAAACAAACAAACATTCACTTCTCCTTCAGCATTCAGATCCCAAGAGGTTCATTGCTGCAGATATCATCCTTTTCCATTCACCTCTCTGGCTGGCCTTCTTTGTTTATCATTTGATGACTCCAAATGTATGTAGGCCTGCCTGTATATTGTATGTCTCTCGGTCTAATCTTATTCAACTCTTTTGTGTATGCAGCTTTGCCTCTGTTATCTGCCACTTACTCTATATGCACAAATTATTGCAGTCTGTTGGTTCACTCTCCATTTTCCGCTGTTTGCATCTTTATTGGGTCCTAAGTAAGTTTAATCAGAATGATACTGGCACCATTTGTATCGGAACTCTTCACTGGCTGCTGAAGATGGGGATGGAGCGCATATGGGAATGCTCCGAGTGCTGTGAGGTCGGTTCTTGAATTGAATCAAATCAAATGATGGGTCCTAAAATTCGCAGCGAAACGTTTCTTAGAAGTTTGTAATAAAGCTCCGTCGTCACTGTTATATAATGTGTTGCTATGATTATAATAAAAGAATTCCCCTACATACGACGACCATATATCTCACAGTCTTCCATTTCTAGGTGTTACTGTGACCTTAAACCTGAACTTTAGTGTTCACCGGCTGTAAACTCTGGCGGAAGGTTCTGGTTTTTCTTTTCCCTTTAGACTTTAGTCTTCCAGAACTTGAGTTTTGCGTGCACATCCGTTTCCCAGGTCTGGCTTATGTTCCTTGCTGTCACACAGATGATTTTGAAGTTAGTCATGGCTTATACGACGTGTTCCCTGTGCTCCGTTCTTCTTCTGAGTCTGAAGAAGCTCAGCACAATGCACAGGCTCTGTAGCACCGGCGAGGATCCTGAAATACTTTGGTTAGATTTTTTAACTCCAAATTTTTTTTCTGGGCAGCGCCGTTAGGCAATATTTCGACAAGGAATATTTTTAAGTGCGCAACAATGCACAAGGGGCGTCCGATCTCACTACCAAGAGACCAGGGGAAATAGTACTAGAAGTCCAAGTACATGTGAAAAAATCCCCCAGCCCTTACCGGGGATTGAACCCGAAACCTCTTGCCCTCGAGGCGGACACCATGCCTCGAGACCACGCAGTCCACTTGTGAGGAAGATGAATGATTGGAAAGACTCACTATTAGACTGGCTAGCATACCTAGTTTCTGACCTCTTTGCCAATGAAGTAAGTTACTTGATTCTGTCTTTCATTTTTTCACGTTTTTATTTGTCTATTTTTGATTCCCTTTTGAAAAATCACAGCCCTTACAGGGGATTGAACCAGGAACATCTAGCACTCGAGGTCGACACCATGCCTCGAGACCACGCAGCCCACTACCACTCTGGGATAAAGAGAGGAACGTCGCTGTAGCTACGGAGTTGCGTGCAGACCGTGACACAAGCGAACAGTTTCTTATCAGCTGTCCGTACTGGTGGCAGAGCACTTATGGTTTATAACCGTGTGCATTGACGTTGGTTCCCGTCTCCCGACTTTACTTTTTTTTAAACATAAGTGTAAAGTGTGTTTTGCGTGGCTTTGACCGTTTGCATATCTGAGGTATATCATGCTGTTTACACAACACATGGTCTCTATACAACAATCCAGGTTTTGTTTCGTGGAGAGAAGCAGCTTCATCCCTTGTCCTACCCCCTTCAGTAAAAGTACTAATTTCCCCACCTTCATACTTCATGGACATTTGGGCATATAGGGCTAGACCTATATTTTATAGAACAATTCATACTCGGTGGGTCTACATCACGCCGACTGCCTTTACTTCCAACTATTTTACTTGAAACCCATTTAAAGTAATGTGGAGTTGGATAGTGATAGCAGCAACGTGGAATTTTCCCAGCCCGCTGACGGCTCAAGTTCTGACGAGGAACGTAATTTACTTCCTGCTAAGAGAACAACACTGACTAATTCTGCCATGGCTACACAAGAGAATAGTGATGCTGAAGCTCCTCGTAATGCGACACCAGCTAGTCCAAATGTCAGCGCTTCTAGTGCTAGTTCTATTAGTAGTACACGCCAGAATGATAATCGTGGTCTGTGGAGAGTTGTTACTGAGGGAAGGACACAATCAAGGTTTCTTTTCAAGCCTCCATGTCCAGCAGGTGCGACAGAACACTGGAGAATATCTTTTATCGTGTTATGGTAGTGTTGTTAAAATCGCTATGGAACAAAAATTATTGCACATTTTGCTTTAATATTGGATTTGCATACTAATAAGTGGTGGTCCTTCCTTTGTGTTGCATTTTAGTTATACTTTATCAAGAATTTTGGGATCAGCTTTTGGGTAAGTGGAAAAAACTTGTTCATAATTTACTAACCTCTCAAACTAAGTCACTGTTTTCTTTACTAAATACTAACTAACGGTATAATTGTTTGTTGTAGCAGTATGCCAGTATTAATCCTTATCCATTTATTTCATGTTCATGTATGATATGTGTATGTTGCACATCAGCTGAAGTTGTGTGGTTTGTTTTAAAGTGCTGCACTTGCTAAACGTCAAAACCATATTACCCCCCCCCCCCCTTTTCCCGATGAAAAACCCCTCTGGGACTCAAAGAGTTAAGGTTGGGTCAACGTAGAAGCCAAGGTCATTTTAAAAAAAAAGTCAGGCAGCTTCCTAATTCTTCCAGTAATGGAACAATTTATATCCGTTGACCAATAAGGGAATAAATTACTCTGAAACACTGTGACTGACCCATTACTGCAACCGACGACTCTTTACATTGAACCTGGACCATCATATCACGTGAGAGTCGCCATGGTGTCGCAGATAGACGCTCGCCTGCGGATCGGATGGTCGTGGGTTCGATCCTGACGGAACCGTACATTAAAAAAAAAATGACCTGGGCTTCCAAGGTCCCTGGCTTGAGAATCAGCTGTACACACATGTCTTAACTGTAATTGGCTCACACAGCATGTCGAGAAAGGCGGAGACAAGCATACCCCGTGCAGAATGGCAAGCACCGCTTCAGAGGTTACGGATAGTTAGCATCCTTTTACTAGCTAAAGTGGAACGTAGGCAGACAGATTGGCTGGATCTGCACCACTGGGTGGTGAATTCATACATGACAAGGCAGATGTGGTCAAGGCCCTTTAGGAACAAGCAACGGAATCAGTAGAGTAACATGATTATTATGGCCTGGACAGAATGAGACATCTAGGTGTAACCAGACGGTCTGGCCGGCTCACTACACTCAGAGGAAAGGCAAGATGGACATATAACCAGATTGTGACTGGTACCATCAGTATTGTAACGAGGACAGAGTACGCATGAGAATGCCCCGAGTGCTGTGATGTTGATTCTTGACTCAACTCGTCCAGAAACAGGAAAATGCGCCAACAGTTGATCCATATTTCATTGACCATTGCTCACTAGCTTAGGGTTTATGTAGAAGGTAATCTTTGCTTATACTTCTTCTCTGGCTCTAAGTGTTCACCAACTGTAAACTCTGGCGCAAAGTTCTGGTTGTTCGTACATGTCTGGGGTTTGTTCTTGTTCCAGAACTTAAGTTTTGCGTGTCTAACCTTTGGTCAAACCAAGCTTACTTGTGTGCAGACTGCTGGTTCCTCGCCTCTAAGACGAGGTATTCTAAAGTTGGAGAAAACATAGCTTATTATTGGCCATTTTTGCATGCTT